GGCCTCCATCGTCAGTGATGAGTCCAACACAACCCCAAGGCTTTTAACAGTGGCAGACGGAACCAGAGCTTCATTTCAATGGATTTAAATTATGTAAAGCAATGGTATATATTTTGAGTGCTGCAGTGTAGAGCCATGATCAATCCTGTCCTTTAAGTGGAGGCCTAAATGGTAGTAAGGAACAGATTCTTGCAACTGGTCACCTTTTATAAGGTGACCAGCATGCTTTTGGAAATTCCCATTTTGTTAAAGTATAAGATTCACATGCCATTTTTCATATATCAATACATTGCATAAATAATCATCTCTATAGTAAAACGTTTTCCTATTTGTGCTTGTGAGCCTGCATCTGTTATGAACCCCTAGTATTTTCTTTTTTTAATCTACCATTCATTTTTCATTTTTATCAGGAGCTATTAAGTAGAACATCTCTTGAAACTCAAAAACTTGACCTTATGGCTGAGGTTTCCAACTTGAAGCTCAAGCTAACTGCTGTGGAAAAAGACAGGTTAGACTATGGAGACAGATTCCGAGACACAGAGGTGAGCAAAAACAGGACTGAACTGTTTCTTCCTTCCGTTTTTAATACACAGATTTTACATGTTCCCCTCTGGGTTGTAAGGAATTTCCTATCTCAAGGCAGTGTGATCACAGTGAATTATAATCTAATCAATCAATCAGCCAAGTTCTGTCATCACTTATGTATTGCTATTCAGACGTATTTTTCAAAACCCAATTTTTCCAGCATGAATTGTGCTGTCACATGAGAGAGGCATCATTCTGTTTAAAATGAACCATTTGATTTGACTGCGTAGTCTTTAAACTTAATTTATAGACTCTGAAATCAATATTTGTTGGTATCAATAGAAAAAAAATATTTACCAAACATCAGAACCATTTATATCTTTAGCTAAACTTAATTAATTTTATCCTGCGAAAATGTAAGCATTTTCAAAGCACTTGTTAGTACAACGAGGAGTTTTGATTGTTCTTCTCTTTTATTAATGTTCAACTATTATTTTATCTTTTTTGCACAGGGTTTGATGCAGGAAATTAATGAATTACGCTTAAAAGTGGGAGAAATGGATAGTGAGAGAATTCAATATGAGAAAAAATTTAAATCTACCAAAGTAAGTAATTATTAAGAAAAAAAGGGAAGAATGTCTTCTTGTGATCTAGCATCCAAACTCTGCTTCACCAAAGCATTTTTTCTTTTCGTATAGGGAAAACTATTCCAGATATCTTCTTGTGTTAGAAGTTGTTGTTCAATTTGACCTTCACGTAAATTTGAATTAGATAGGAGTGAAGATATAGGCCCATTTTTGTGTATGTCAGTTTTTTAATCTGTATTTTTCAGTCTAAATTTAGCCAGCACAAAATTCATATGCAATTTACTGTAATGCTTTTATTTTACTATATAAATTTTAAACACAGTTTTGTCTTAATAAAAACTTTCTGAAGAAAGTTTTTAAATTAGTGGGTGGCAGTACAAAATTCATAGCGGTGCAAGGATCAGAATATAATGGTGTTTTAATTTGTGTACTGATTCTGAAAGTATGAGTTGAGAAAGTCCACACTAAAGTGCAAGCCAAGTAGATTTCTTCTCCAATCCTAGTTATATGATTGTTTCATAGATGTAGCAGCCTGCAAACATTTGTCATAAAGCTGTGTCGGCCAAGCTAGAAGAAAGCACTGGATGCATGAACTTGTGTGTCCAAAGTAAAACTGGTAAAGGTAAAGGTTTCCCCTGCCATTAAGTCTAGTTGTGTCCAACCCTGGGTGGTGGTGCTCATCTCCATTTCTAAGCCGAAGAGCCAGTGTGGTCCGTAGACACCTCCTAGGTTTTCTGGCCAGCATGACTGCATGGAATGCCATCACTCTGCTGTCGCACGCTGGGCCTGTGCATTAGACTGTACACAGGACATACATTCTCTGTGCCCAACAGGATGCCAGGGCTGCCTCAGAATAAAGGCCCTTAGATTCCCCCAAACAGAGTCTTTAGAATGCTTAAAGTAAGTCCAACAAAGTTCTTTTCTTAAGGAACAAACAGCTACTTTAACGGTTTTCTTAACAGTCTATAGGCTCTTTCAATCTTGTCCACTAGGAACAGGCACTGTCTTCTTAACTGTAACTAACTGATGGGGAAATCCTAGCTTCTAATCTGGGCAGTCTGTACTTGCCTCTGTTGACGTGGAGCCCCTGCACCCGGTACCAACTGCGTCTGGCTTCCGCGAGTGACCCTTGCCTCAACAGAGCTTTGTAGACCTCCAGGGAAAAAGAAGGAGTTCAGGTTGCTGTGATGGCCGGCTGGAGTCCCTCAGCCAAGCTGTGGCTGTATGTCTCCTGGCCAAGCCATAGGGCTGTATAACCCCGGCCAAGCTGTAAAAGACGAAGCTTTTCTACAGGAGCCACTTCGTTCTATGTCCTGTGAGAAAGGCTTCTCTGTGAAGCTCGAAAAGGGGCGGGACCAGGAAAACTCAAAAAGGGGCGGGACCAGGAAAACTCAAAAAGGGGCGGGACCAGGAAACCTAACCATTATTGACAGGTGGCTTGCCCTATGATTGCAGCCAAAAGAAGCCACCTATCTGCAGGGTCCCTGAAACTTAGGACTGCAATAAACATTAAATGCAAAAGCAAACAGAAATGGAGCTCCTGGTACAGCTGTACCAGCACACTCCTGGCCTAGATTTCTCAATGATGAGAAATGTATACTATTTATTTATTTATTTATTTATTACTGCACTTGTAGACCGCCGTTCTCAGCCCTAGGGCGACTCACGGCAGTGTACAACATATAAAAAAGACAATTTACAATAAGGCAATTACACTAACAACAACTACAACATCACTATTAATACTACAATTACACTAAGTCATCATAGTGTAATCATAGAATCTCATCATAGAATCACAATCCGATCTCGTTTCCATATTCCGTTCCAATCATCATTGCCAATTGTTGTAGCACTTAGTCAAACGCCTTCTCAAACAACCACGTCTTTAGTCTCTTGCGGAACGTCATAAGGGAGGGCGCCTGTCTGATGTCTACAGGGAGGGTGTTCCATAGCCGGGGGGCCACCACTGAGAAGGCCCTATCCCTCGTCCCCGCCAAGCGTGCCTGTGAGGCAGGCGGGATCGAGAGAAGGGCCTCCCCAGACGATCTCAAAGTCCTCGTGGGCTCATAGGCCGAGATGCGGTCAGACAGGTATTTTGGGCCAGAACCATTTAGGGCTATAACAATAACAAATAACTATAACAATAAATAACTATAACAATAAATAAATAACTATAACAATAACAATAAATAACAATAAATAAACAATAAATAAATAAATATAACAATAAATAAATAACTATAACTATAACAATAAATAAACAATAAATAAATAAATATAACAATAAATAAATAACTATAACAATGGCAAATCTAATTTGGCAATGAACAATTACCCATTCAGTAACAACACAACATCACAAATAGGTCTGTGCAACACAGAAACATTGCCATTTTGGCACACACTTAGTTTCACCTTCCTTACCAATCCATCTGGACTTGGCAAGGTCTCTGTAACTTTGGCCAAAGGCCACTTGAAACGAGGTAGGGGGTCTTTGAGCAAAACAATGTCCCCAACTTGGAGGTTGGGCTTGGAGTCTTTCCACTTCCTGCGACTCTGGAGTTGAGCCAAGTACTCTGCCTTCCAGCGTCTCCAAAACTGGTTGGCAAGAGTTTGAGTTTGTTTCCAGAGTACCTTGTAAGACCCTTCAGGAACAGGGTACATAATTTCCTGCCATTCAGAAGTCTTTGAGTCAAAATGGATGCAGGAGTGAGAAGCTGTGGAGTATCAGAGTCTGTGGTGATGGGCACCAATGGGCGGCTATTTGCAATTGCTGTCACTTCCGCCGTCAAAGTAACCAAAACATCATGGGTCAAATTCTTATACTTTAAAAACATAGCATTCAAAATCTTTCTATACAAACCAATCATACGTTCCCACGCACCCCCCATGTGAGACGCATGCGGTACATTAAATAGCCATGTAACCTTTTCTGCATTCAAAAGAGCAGAAGTATCCATACATTCAATCACCTCAATGTGAATGGCTCGGATGACTAAACAGGTGAAGATGACTGAAAAGAAATGCCTTGTCTCTCTCCTAATTATCTGAGCTAATTGGATAGCTAGCACAGCAGCACAGAGTCCTAACCTAAGGACAGTGGCGTGAGATGGAGCAATCTTAGCCTTGGCCGTAGCAAAACCTAAAGTGCAAGAACTAGAGTCTTTGCGTCTGGCATAAGCCACAGCTGCGATAGCTTTCTCCAAAGCGTCGCAAAAGACATGGAGTTCGGTGTGCAAGCTCTGTAAAGAGCTCCTGGCCGTGAATTGACGTGGGATGCTCAGCTGGTGTAAATCTTGAGCCTGAACGATTTGCTGTTTGGTCTTGGGATCACACTGCATCTTGCATCTCAAAGACTGCAGTCTTTTATCTGCTACCTGTCTGTTGGGAGGCAGGGTAGGCCGGTCTGCTTTGAAGGGCAAAGGGGCGATCCAATTCCCTTCCTCGCTGAGAGTCACCTCGGAGTTCATGATGTTCAGGAATGTTTGTTCATCTCGGGAGAGCGCGTTGTTCTCGTCATCCCGGGACACGTCGAAGATGGAAGAGAACTCAGATGAAACTCCTTGGCAGCAAACAGAAATGTGGCTGAGGCAACTTTGCATGAGGGTGACTCTGCCACAGCTGAGGGTGTTGGGCTGAACTGGACACAGAGAAGATGGAGGATGCATTCTGTCGACACATACAGGTCCCTGTATGGTCCATCCTAATGGAGTCTTCTGTGCCAAAGGTGCACCAGGAGGACCTCTCTTCTCAGCTCGGATGCTCATCAAGCTGGGGCAGTTGGATCCAATGAGCAGGACTATGTCAATGCCTGGCTCAAAGGGTGGAATGAGGTCCTGTAGTCCTTTCAGGTGAGGATGCACTTGCATCATCTCTCTGGTAGCAATCTGGTCCTTATTGCGTGGGATGGATGCACACTCAATAAGGTCAGGCAACTCAAAACGAATGTCTTTGCCCCATGGCGAAGTGATAAATCCAGATGCAACGCGGCCCTGTCTTTGTTGCTTGCCTGTACAAGTAGAAATACAATAGTCAATAGTCTTTGCTTGCCCCTTAAAGATTTTGAAGAAGTCAGGGGTGGCCAGGGAACCGTCGCTTTGGTTGTCAAGGGCCACGTACATTTTCTTCTTCATCCAAGGCTTGCTGGCAGGAAAAACCTCTGCCAAACAAATGGGGTGGCAAATCCTAGTTTTCTTTGGGCTGCCGCACAGCTGTGTGCAGGCCACAGAGGGTGCCTCAGTGCCCGATGAAGGTCCAGCTGAATCTTCTGGGGAGCGTTGAAAGGTGGCCCCGCTTTTGACCTTTGAGGGCATGAAATCCTTGTCATGCATGGCTGAGCAATGCTTTTTGGATTGGCACACCACGCACTTCACCGTTTCTTTGCATGACTTTGACTGGTGGGGAGTTGCACCGCAGCACTTGAAGCAGATCCTGGACTTCTTAAGGATCTCGACCTTGTCTGCGTGAGGCTTCTTGGCAAAATCCCTGCAGTCGGCCAAACTGTGGGGCTTTGCATGCAGTGGGCACAAAATATCCTCGGGCGTCATCTTGGCGTCAGCTGGAGATGAGTTGGTCTCCGTGGACTTGACGGCGATGCTTCTCTCGGTGCCACTGTCCTTTGCAGGTTTCCCGGGCTCTTTGATGGGCCTATCCGACCTTGGAGTCCCATAAAGAGTTGGAAATCCCGTCTGTGGTTCGTTGAACTGCATGGCAGCATTTGTGACGAAATCTACAAGATGTGCGAATGGTGGGTAGACCTGATGGTTGGCCTGCTTGAATCTGAAGACTTCTTTGCCCCACTCTTCTTGTAAGGAGAATGGCAGCTTCTGGATGATGGCAGTTTGGGATAGGTGTTGGTCCAGGCAGGCAAACCCTGGAAGATGTGGGTTTCCCTTGGCAGACTGAAGCTCAGTCAATAAGTCTGACAAGTCCCAAAGCTGTTCAAAGTCTTTTGGTTTGAGCACCAGGAACTGATGAAGTCTGTCCATCAGCGAGGCTTCAATTTGGGTGCTGGA